CCCTCTGAAGGGCAGCACAGCCCTCAGCTATCATGACTGTTCCACCCAAGCCTTACTGCTGGCTGGAGTCAGGGAAGCTTTAAACACAAAGGTTCATTTCCAGCATATCACACTACACCCAGCCTTCAGCACACATGTGTTTCCTACTCTGCGGTAAGAGCCTAACTTTAAACTAAAACATGAGATGTCATTTATGCAATCCTTACACTGAGCATCTTAGCAGCACGTTCAGGCAGTGATGCTCAGTGGGGCAGATCAGGACACTGACATGTCTGAGCAAGCAGAAATGTCACAGAATAATCAGAGCTGGAAGGGGATCCAGAGCACTGAGGATCATCTAGTCCAACCCCTGGCCCTGCACAGGACATCCCTGACAATCACACCCTGTGCCTGAGAGCATTGGCCAAACACCTCTGGAGCTCTGTCAGCCTTGGGGCTGTGCCCACTGCCCTGGGAGCTGTTCAGTGCCCAAACACCTCTGGGGGAAGAACCATTTGCTAATCTCCAGCTTAACCCTCTCCTGACACAACTTCAGCCCATTCCCTGGGTCCTGTCCCTGGGCGCCAGAGAGAAGAGGTCAGTGCTGTCCCTGCACTCATGAGGAAGTTGTATAGAGTGATGAGGTCTCCCCTCATTTAGTAGAAGAGTTAACTTCTCCAGGTCTCAGGTTACCATCTGTTTCCAAGCACAAAGTCCAAAGAAACTGTTCTGAAGACACAACCACAATTAAGGTTCACCTTTGCGCCTCAAAGTAAAACCTTAAGCACTCGTTTAAGGTTAACTCCACACTAAGACTTATTTGCAGCTTCCCAAGAAGAGCCAAGCATGACTTTAGCAGTTAAAGGGCCAAACAGTATTACTGATCACTGTGGAAAACCAAGACATACCGAAAAAAAAATGTCTTTATTAGCATTGTTACAGGCAATGCATTACATACGAACTGATCCTTGAAGTGTACAACCCCCCAGCCAAGTTGAAAGCAAGAGAATCAGCAGATTGAGATCTATATTGTACACGTGTGCAGTAACAGGATCTCTCTGAGCCTTCCAACAGAACAGACCAAAATCACTTTACAAAAAAGAAAAGAAAAAAAGAGGTAAATAAAAATAACACCCATTTTAAAAAAGTCCCAGCTCCTAAGGAGCTGGCAGAGCATCAAAAATATCAAACAGGGGAGTTGTCCAATTATCAAGAGTTCCTGTCAGGTTTGGGTATTGTGTCATTCACACCCTGCATGGGCCAGGCCTTGAGTTTAAAGCTTAGTAAAAAACACACACCCTAAGAGACAAGGTGAAGTTCAGACTTTCAATTCTGTCAGTTGTTACTAAGAGGGTTTTTTTTTCAGATGCTTCATCAGGATCATTAACATCATTGCTCGACAGGAGGTGCAAAGAATGAACCTTTTCCCTTTGTTAAGAGTTCTGAAAACTGAGTCAGTGTGAATTAGCAACTCTCTCTGGAATCTTTAGCTGACATGATCTTAATGCCAATTCCAAAAAAAAAAAAAAAAAAGAAAAAAGCACCCTTAAAAACTTGTAGCTTGTTTCTAAGTGGGTAAATATTTGAAACTAGTTAGCAAAATTAAACACCAGAATTTTCAGAAGTTATTTCTGTGCATAGTTAAATGCTGCAAGATGATTTCACATTTAATAAAGCAGACTTTAAAGAAGCAATTTGCAAGGAAAGATGTTACCTTACAATATCAATCTTAGCTCAGGGGAAACGTGTGGGGTTGGGGTTGGGTTTTCCCCCCCCACAGCCTCTTGCAATTGCTTTTCCTCTACGGTGGATTTTAGTGCAAGTCATTAAATTGTTTGATATCCAGCATGGCTCCTCTTTCTGCCAATCAAGTAAGCAATCAAGACAATTAGAACAAGGCCAGCAAGGGCTGCACCAACTATTATAGGGATCAGCATGTTGTTTTCATCCAGTTGACATTCTTCCACTAAGAGAGAAAGAAAAAAGATCCATGTCAGGCACTAGCACATCACCAGACAGCTACAGGCAGAACTTCAAGCTTAGAATCATAGAATTTAAGGGTTGGAATGGACCTTACAGTCCCAACCCCCTGCCCTGGGCAGGGACACCTCCTCACTAGATCAGGTTGCTCAAGGCCTCATCCAGCCTGGTCTTAGCACACAGACAAAACTGTCTCAAGGAACTTCCAGCTTCCCAACAACCAAAAGGAAGCCAAGTCCATTCCATGTGATCATTCAGGATGAAGTCTTTCTAGTCCTATGTATGCAAAATATAGAGAGTTACACTGATTCCTTAAGAGCTGTTAATGTTCCACACAAGCTTAGTCACCATAAAATTGAAACCAGCAGTGAGGAGAAAGACTTGGGAGTGACAGTGGGTGAGAAACTCCTCATGAGCTGAGTGTGAGCTCAGCCCAGAAAGCCAATGGAATCCTGGGCTGCATCCACAGGAGTGTGGGCAGCAGGTCAAGGGAGGTGATTCTCTCCCTCTGCTCTCCTGAGACCCACCTGGAATACTGCACAAAGTTCTGATGTCCTCAGCATAAGAAGGACATGGAAGTGTTGGAGCAAGTGCAGAGGAGGTCACAAAGTTGCTAAGAGCACTGGAGCATCTCCCCTATGAGGACAGGCTGCGGGAGTTGGGACTATTCCGCCTGGAGAAGAGAAGGCTGTGTGGAGACCTCAAAGCCCCTTCCAGGAGCTGAAGGGGCTCCGGGGAAGCTGCAGAGGGACTCTGTGTTAGGAGCTGCAGGGACAGGACAAGGGGCCGTGGGGACAAACTGAAGGAGGGGAAATTTAGGCTAGATATTAGGCAGAAGTTTTGGCTGTGAGGGTGGTGAGACACTGGCTCAGGTTGCCTAGAGATGTGGTGGCTACCCCGACCTTGGTGGTGTTCAGGGCCAGGCTGGATGAAGCCTTGAGCAACCTGGTGTGGTGGGAGGTGTCCCTGCCCAGGGCAGGGGGTTGCAACTAGATGATCTCTGAAGTTCATTCCAACCCTTAAATTCTATGATATCCATGCAACTCCTCCCACAGCCTTCGTGCTTTAACCACAGCACACAAGGGACAGCTTAGCCACCTTCATACAACTTTGTGCACACAGCTAGGAGGCAAAGCTGGTACTCAGGTTGCTTAACTCTTCTCTGGACCATCAGGAACAAGTCCCAGTTACTTGAGAGCTTTTTACATCCTTCTCACACTAGCCTCAACTCGGACATCTCATCCAACCCCCACATCATCTGGAGTGGGGCATGCAGAGACTAAACATAGCACCCACCACTGACAGAATGTTGTATTTATATCGAAGTGTACTTCACAAATCTTCTCCTTGGCAGGGGCTGCCAAATGCAAAGTCCTTACCTGCCCCAAATTTGTCTCCATCGATCTTGAAAACCTGGATCTGAACATTAAATACATTGATCAGGGCATTGTCTGTGACCTGCAGGTTCTCCTCAGAGCTGCACTTGTAGGAGTTTCCTACTGTAGCTCTCAGCTCACTCATGCTGTTGTTTGAGGCTTCAAATTGTGGATCTGTGTAAAGAGAAAGTCTTGTTATATAAACCTGAAGAGCAGGAGCTGTAAGCTCACAGAGATTCCATTTGATGCATTCACCCCCCAACATTTCTAACACGTTATTTAATGCAGGCAGCCCTTAAAATTTATAGAGTAGTCACTGAAAATAGACCTAAAAGTCCTTACTTTCAGCTTCAGAAGGCAGAATCGTGCTTACATTCACACCTTGCAGGAAGAACTTTTCAGAGCTTGCATTCTTTAAAAGAAAAAAACACGACAAACCAGTAGTTGGCATTTAAGCTCATCATGTGCAACATAATCTGTTAACATTCAGGTTTGATTCTGGATGTATTTTGAGAAAGGTTTTCACAGCGAAGTCCATAATGGGGATTAGCACCCAAAGAAAGAGTTTAGCTGGACTTTGGGAGAGGAATGCTACAGAAGGTATGCACCTCAGGGAAGATCATGTTTGGGGAAGGCAAAGTGGGGACTGTCACCACTCAGACTGTTGACTTGCACACTGCAGTCCCAACCAAGCCTTAACCAGCCTAGGGCACTGATCTCTGTACTCCACTGAGCTATGGAGTCATTTAACAGCAACAGGTCAAGGTGATGGCATTAGATCAATCCCATCATGGAACCATCAAGGCTGGAGGAGACCTAAGATCGTCGAGTCCAACCATTAACCTGTCACTGCTGGAACCCCTAAACCAGATCCTCCAGTGTCAGATCCAGATGCCTCTTCAACACCTCCAGGGATGGTGACTCCACCACCTCCCTGGGCAATATCCCAGTGCCTCAACACCCTCACAGGGAAAACATTTCTCCTCACATCTCATCTGACTCTCCCCTGTCTCAGTTTATGACTGTTCCCTCTAGTTCTCTCACAAAGACTTAAATCCAGCCCTAGATTTGTACAATTAGATGAGATGCCTACTTGTCACCAGCTGTTCCCAGTCTGGGCCAGAAGCCTTACAGAGTAGGCAACACAGCCTTAAAAGACATACCCATTCCCAACAGAATACTTCTGTATGGATACCTAGGTATGTGTGCACATATACATGAACATACTCTTCCCTCACAACAGTTACCAAGCATAAAGCCCACTAAATCCCAGTATTAAAACCAAAGGACTTACATACTCCCATTCCTGCATGTTTTTTTCTCTTGTACTTGTCCCAGTTAGTTTTCTCACATGAAATGTTTTCCCTGTGAGGGTGTTCAGGCACTGGAATATTGCCCAGGGAGGTGGAGGAGTCACCATCCCTGGAAGTGTTAAAGAGATAACTGGATCTGATGCCGAAGGATATGGTTTAGGGGTTCCAGCAGTGGCAGGTTAATGGTTGGACTTGATGATCACAGAATAACCAGAGCTGGATGGGACCCTTGAGGGTCATCCAGTCCAGCCCCTGGCCCTGCACAGGACATCCCTGACAATCACACCCTGTGCCTGAGAGCATTGGCCAAACACCTCTGGAGCTCTGTCAGCCTTGGGGCTGTGCCCACTGCCCTGGGAGCTGTTCAGTGCCCAAACACCTCTGGGGGAAGAACCATTTGCTAATCTCCAGCCTAACCCTCCCCTGACACAACTTCAGCCCATTCCCTGGGTCCTGTCCCTGGGTGCCAGAGAGAAGAGGTCAGTGCTGCCCTTGCACTTCCTTCCCTGAGGAAGTTGTATCCAGCCATGAGCTCTGTCCTCAGTCTCCTCCTCTCCAGGCTGAACACACCAAGTGACCTCAGCCACTCCTTATGTGGCTTCCCCTCAAGGCCCTTTGCCACCTTCATTGCCTCCTCTGGACTCTCTCCAATAACTTAACATCTTTCTCACATTGTGGCACCCAAAAATGCTCACACTGTTCCAGGTGAGGCTACCCCAGCACAGAGCAGAGCAGGACAATCCCCTCCCTCTCCCTCTGGCCATGCCTTGCCTGATGTGCCCCCCAGATCTCCTCCAAACCTGATGGTTCTATGACTCTGTGAGAAGCCCTGCAGACCCCACACACATTGTGTGGAGGTTCTTACCAATGCAAACAGGAAGATGACCCTTGTCTTCTCATAAGCCAGATTCAACAAAGCAGATGTATTGTCGCATCTCCCCGAAAAAGTTGTGTTCCTTGGGATGAAATTCAGCACTACCGAACCCATCTGGGAGAGAAGAGGATCAGTTAGGACATCTGAAGAGACTAAAACATCACCTTACATTGAGCTGATGTGCAGTTTGCTTGTACTCATGTGCACATGGTGTAATGTTTGCCCCTGAGTTACCAGGCCCACACAGAGAACATCTCCGCATGTCTGACAGAGCTTTCTGCAGCCCTCACTGGCTGTAGCCAATAACCTGCTGCTTTCCCCTCACTAAACTGCTTTGGTTTTGAGTCAGGAAAGACATCAAGAACCACCACACTACATGGGGAGGGCAAGATGCTATGAAATGCTGCTTTGACAGAACGTAGAAGTAATGAAGGGAACCACCTGTAAGCACAATCATCTTGCATGTCACTTCAGCTCAAAATGCTTTGGCTTAGCCTGTGGCACATGATTTTATACTGTCTTGCATCTGCAGAAGGCTGTGGGTGACACACACTTGCCAAACAATCCAACAGAAACCTTCCAGGACCTCTTAGCTGATCCCTATGTGACTTTGGAAAAACCTATTTGCCATCTCCCCACTGGTCAGTACAGTAGGAATCAGCTGTTCCAGCAGAGCTAGAATGCCACGCTCAGGGAATTTCACACAACTAAGGTGGCTAAAACATAGTTGACATAATCAGCCACTGTGCAGGCACACAGCAGCCAGCAGTGCTTAGGACTTTACCTCTCAGTCACCATCAACGTCATAAATGCAACAGCTGTCTTTGCACCACCATTGCGTCCTGAGGGTCTTCAGCAGTCCCCCTGGGACTCTGGGTTAGCCTGTGGGGCTGGCAAGGTGAGCTCTGCATCACCAGAGGAGGGAAAGAACCTGTACCTGAGCTGGATCTTACCCAGACCATGTGGGTTTTTGGCTGTTAAAATCAGCTGTTAAATCCCCAAACCTCTTCAGTGCTGGCTGGAAGGTAACTCAGTCACAGCCTGTGCAGTTTTACAGTAGTAACGTTCCGTTCTCTGCTTTCATTCAGATGCCTCAGGTCAAATTTCTGCATTTTATTTAAAAGTTTCGGTATCTTGTTTAAATGGCAACTCTGATAACAAGATTCCCCCTACTCATATCTTGATCACTTTTCCTGCGCCTGTGAAATGGCCACGTACACTTCCTGGATTCCACAGCCAAGTTCAGCACTACTCCTACTGCATGGAAAAACCCTTAATGACCACCTTCAGCAGAGCTGTTTGGAATGTCACCAGTCTAGGCCAAGTTATGCAATTCCAATAGAGGATATTCATGGATGAACACCACAAAAACCCTTTTAAAAGAAAAAAGTGAGCTTAGAATAATTTACCAAGTCTTCCCCCCCCATCAAAAGAATCTGAAGACTTTGAAGAAATAACAGCAAGAAGTACCTTTTCATCCTTTTTTAGATAGGTGATATTAAGCTGTAGCCCCATGTAGGCAAGTACACAGGTTCCATTTGGCCCAGTCACGTTGTATTTACCAACTGCAGGGTTTGAGGGCAATGCTGTTGGTGCTGGAGTGGCTGTTGGAGCCTGGCTGGTAGCCTGTTTAGTAGTTGTAGGCACTACAGCAGTAGTAGGGACCATATCTTCAGCACATTCTGTCTCTGCAGAGAAAGGAAAACAGTCATTACCAACCAAAATGAAGCTGTGGGATAATCTATCTACCTTTTTAATCCTCAAGGGAAAGAAAGACATGACCTCAAGTAGCTTTTACTAGCAGAAGGTAATAAAAGCTCAGAAAAAGGATGGTAAAGCATTACCTAAGCTCTTGTTGCAAAGTTTGAGGGAGTTTTCAAGCCTGGCATGTGAAGACAACATCTCTGCTGTTCACTTTCTGAAGATCCTGGGGACAGCATCTGCTTTCATTCATGTCTGGCATTTCACTTTGCTGTCAGGTCAGGGTAAACCAGGTTCTGATACCCTGCCCTGAGTTCACACTCTGGGCACGTGTGTGCTACAAGCAGAGGGACAGTTCTCCTGCCCACAGTTAAATGTGGTCCCCAGAGAGATGTGTTCTCCTTCCTCTCCCTCTTTCAGTCACACTAGCAGTTTGTGAGGACCCTGGTCATTCTTTCAGCAATACCCACAGGAACCTTAAAATACTCCTGTGGCTCTTCGGTCCTTAACAAGGGGATTCCTTAACAAGGTTGGCTGAAGCCTTGAGCAACCTGATCTAGTGAGGAGGTGTCTCTGCCCAGGGCAGGGGGCTGGGACTAGATGATATGTAAGGTCCATTCCAACCCCTAAAATTCTGTGACCCTAACACACTGCTGCTGATGGGAAGTGTTCTGCTCTATCCTCTCACATCCATCCTCCTTTTAGTCCCCCAGGAGTAGCCACCCTCCAGGGCCTACAAGGCTGAGTGAAGATAAGGCAATTCAGCTTTCTCTCTTCATCCAGTTCAGTAGCAACTTCCAAGGGAACAGGGACTCTGATTTATTTGCCAGAGTACTTGGAAACACCTGGCAGCAAGATCTTAACTTGATCTGGGAGCCAAGAAGGTTCTTGCATTGAACATTTAAGCCAAAACCAAAGGTCATAACAAAGACAATCCCATAGTAGAGGCTTCCATGTTCCAAGCCAAGGTCATCTCCACGTGTCAAGGGTAACAGCTTGCAACTTTATAAGGACAACAGCAACTGCAGAACAGTCACCTGTGGCTCAAAGGGCCTACTTGTGAGTTTAAAGCATACATATCCTGCAGATGCAAGATAGCTAATAAATCATAGAATCATAGAATTT